TCACGCCTGGGGGACCCCGGGTGGTTTTCTTTGAAATCACGCCTGGGGGGTCCCGGTGCTTAGAAAAAAAACACCGGTTCCGCCACAGACGTAGACATCAGGGCGGGGCTGTTTTGCACATTGGGACCTACAAGACTTAAACATGACTTCTTCTCAAAAAGGCGGAACTCCAAAATAGGCAGTTTCCTTGTGGTTTTCGCTTTAAGCCCTCAATCACATACCAAGCCTCACCAAAAGACACTCATCAGATGAGTTGCAAGCGATCTGGGCATCGGCCAATCATAGCCCAAGCCATTGGCGACAGCAACTCGCTGCGCAGGTGTGTGTGTGTGTGTGTGGAAGATAATGAAGATGGCAAACAAAGCTGACCTAGTGATGTGGTTTCATTCACCAGCATGAGCAGGTAACCCGTTGCGCTACGTATAAATTAGTGGTTGTTAACAATAGTGTCCGGTGCAAGTCATCAGTAAGAACAGCCCCCTGGGCTCTTTGTAGGGAAAACGGTGACTCTCGTATTGCCTTGTCAAACTGCCATGTCAACCATAATGTTGGGCCCCTTTGATAGCGGGGTGCGCTATTATAGGACGTCTAATCCTTAAACAGACTCTGCGACTGTTTTGGGGCGCGGAATAGACAGTTTCTTCCCAGCGACGGATCTGAGCCCATGTCCTTTCTCATATGGCTGTGGGTAAGAATTAGACTACCAGGGGACCACAGGTGTCAGTCCATGCTTCTAGTTAATAGGGTTCCATTTTGGGTACCCATTTTTACCCACTGCCAATGCATATCTTCTCATTCTTTCTGGGCTGCTTGGCTTAGGCCCTCAACTCAGAGGCTTAGATCTCAAATCGATCTACCCCAAAAGGAGAAGGGGGGGGTGCCCACAAAAGCCCCAGATCCACTTCAATGGCACGTGTTCCGACTTCTCTTTGACATAAACTATTGGGCCGGGAAGGCCCAGTCCTTCCAATTCTAAGGGGTGCTATGCTCACTTCGGCTTAGGACTCAAAGGCCTAGGCCTCAGATCTCGGAACTGTGTTCGCTTAATGCCAAAACGTGGAGTGGCAATACTCATCCTATGGTTGTCAATGGCTCTCCAATAGCTACCCCCCAATCCTGCTGTAGGCTAGTAGCGACTAATAGGGTCTATAAGGGGCTAGTAGGGTTCCTTGTGGGACCATTGCCAGGGGGTCCCCACTTTGCCGGGCCCCTGAAAACCCATAGGAGCTGAATCTTGAATGAAAAATTATGGGGCAATGCTAAGCTATTTGTTTTGGCCCAGCTCAAGCCCCCCCGAAGCCAACAAAACAATACGAAGCTCTAAGCTTGTCCACTAAAGAGAAGCTTCTGACTCTTGGCACTGTTGGACTGTTGAGGGGTTCGGATGAAAAAGGGTACCACATGGGGCTCCCGGGAGCAACGACCACACATTTACCCGTCCCCATAGCCGTCCAAATCTGCAACAAACACCGTCTTTGAAAGAATCCAAGCATTGGCTGTGGTCTTGTGTCTCAACTGTCCGGCTCACTTGAATGGTGATCCTAAGACACCCCTCTCTACCAAACTCCCCAAGGGCAAACAATCACTCGGCAACCCCCCTTGATTGAGTGTTTCCTGGCAATTTCAGGGACATCCGAAGTTCCGTGGAAGTCTTTGGGACATCAAACCTTGATCCACAGACCTGTACAAAAGGGCCCTCCTGGCTTGAGGCCTGATTTCACAAAGTCGAGAATACATTCAATCAGGCCGGCGGAACATACAGTCGACAACAATTTTACACCTGCTTGGACCAGCATGATGAGACAGAAACTTGAGGGCCGGCCTGGACTGCTACACCGCGGACCTTGTCGATAAGGTGCTTGGGAGGGTCTGCAAAAGTGTTCTTCAAAGGTTTGTTCGAAGCTGTTGCGACCAAACAAGCAAACAAAAGTTCGGATATTTTCGTCAAGGTTCCGAAATCAATTTCTGGAATCATCCGCGATGTTCGCCCAACTCCCCAACATCTTTGTCGAAGTTCGCTTGGTCAGGGCGTCCACTCCGCCCTTCTGTAAGGTCTGTTTGCCATAACTTGGACTCCCCAATCCCCGTGGATACTGGAAAATTCACCTCAACCACCACCGGCAGGATCCAAATAAAGGGCAGCGGGGGCAAAGCCGAAGCTAGCCGAAAGTACTAGGTCGGATCAAACGGTATACCTCAATTCTCTCCATGACCCGAAATCAAAATGGGTCAATGACCAACCATTATGTTGCGTAACCAAGCATTTTAAGGTTCAGGGAGACTCAAGGTATCAACTTTGCCGCGAACCATAGACACCATTGATCTAAGGAGACTTTTGCGGCACCCAGCGCGCCTATACGCCTGGGGGCTACCAGCTGGAACACCTCAGCCAAAATCACCAAAATTCCGGTGGCAAGCTGCCAGGCTGTGGGGTCCAAAACCCAAAAATGGAACCCTCCCAAAATGGGAAAATGTGGGGATAGGTTTAAACCCAACCAGGAATCCAGCCATTTGTCGATGCCCATAGTCGATGCAAGCACGGGACTATGATGTTGGGCTATTCTACATGCCTCCAATCATCTGTGGTGAATGAAACCGAGGACTAAAACCTGCGGTTCTCTGATGGAATTTTCACCTGTATTATATCTGCTTGCCTCTTAAGACAAGGGCCAAGAAAATATGGGCCGTTCAAACCCTGAAAGCCAACCGGCTCCCTCCTGAATGCAGTGCTGCTACAGTAATTTGCATGTTAGGGGCACCAGGCATATTGAAAGAGCAACAAAACAATCAGATGCCGCTGAAATTCAGTAACAACTATATGTTTTACAGTGAAGGCGACCTCGAGGGTAAACATGCCTTCATTGAGGATGGATCGATGTGCCCCACTGGTGAGCGGGTTGGTTATGTTGCCCAAACCAATGAGAATAACCACTTCATTGCGATAGACAGTAGCATTTTTAGAGCGGGAACTTGATTTGCCAAATGACCATGTCAAGCCAAACCTGTGGCCGAGCACGCAAAGAGCCACCGGTCTTGGACTAAAGGGACACCCACCAAATAAAAGGGACCATTCGGCACCCGGACGGACGAAATTGCCCGTTGGTTGATGACAATCCCTTGCAATCGACCCAAGTTACTGGGTGCTTTGGCCATTGCACATGATGCCCATAGACTCTGGGGGGATCCATCAAGGAAGCTGCATCTTTGGATAAGCCCAGGCCAAGCCCTCTCTCTACGCGTTAAGCAGGCCCCACACCCCTTTGGTAGATGCCCTTCTAATTCTTGACAGGGCAAGCGGTTCGTCTAAAATCACGATCAATGTTGCACGGAACCCCCATCTAGTCCCAAGATAAAGTTCCTACATCTTGGCCCCAAGTGGCATACAAGACAGCAGATTCTCGCCTCTGTCACGCATATCCTTTGAAAACCGAACAAAGGACACTGGAATACGTGGAAACAACCCTTCAAGGCGCGGGGCTCACTGCATCTTGTCCTCGAAACATCACACACCCAAATGTTCCCCAAGCAGTCATGAGGAAATCATCTAGACAGGCAGGGCAGTCTGTTACTCGGAGGGAAACTGCCACTGCTCCGCCTGGAACGCATATCATGGGATCCAGTACTTGGCAACTCCCTCAGTCCGAGCCCTGGATTGGTCAGGAAACAATGACAAGGCCGGGCCCTTCGACCGCAAACCTGGGAATAAGGCTACCATCTGACATCTCACCACAAGATCAATACATGGCAAGCATTCAAGGGGTTGGTCAACGTTCGTCGCCGTTCTTGGGAAGGAGTTGCGGGGGCTTTCAGCCAAGTATGGGGGGGGCGCAAATCAAATAGTGCACGTACTGGTAATGTACACATATACATTTATACATATATATATATATATGTATAGGTATTACTACATAGTTTGTTATTGCAACCCAGCAATTGCAAAAACCTGAAGTCAACCCAGTAGCAAGCCTGGATTAATAATCTCTTTGATCAACAGGGGCATGGCTTCCTTCGGGCGAATCCTGAACTTCTGAACTTGAGGGTGCACCCTTTTTGTTGAGTTAGCTTGATAAGTTTGGGCTTCATGGAAGACCAAGTCATGAAAAATATGTGGATGTGTCAAACCAGGCAAGGCACCCCCGGGTTGGTTCACATTCAAAAGAAACCAATGGCAGGCATCATCCGCCCCGCGCTGAAGAACATGTTCTACGCCGAGGCTCGTGTGGGCGTAGATGCCGCACTTGCAGAAGCACCAGGAGTTGGCAACGACCTCTGACAGACACAACTGGTCAGGTAAATTTGGCATGTGTCTAAGGTAGGAATTCAATCAATGAAAACCTGAAAAGGGGTGCATTTGTTGGGCTGGTGGCGAAGCTGGTGACTGAATCACCAGATGTTGGACAACAGCACTTCAAGTTCAAAGTTGTGTTGCTTGAAACAAATCCCGCATTGCTTCCATTGAGATCCTGCTGGGTAATTGCTTTTGTCCAGGCCAAGAGTTTGCAAAATGATCGCGTTCACAGGTGACAAACCAAACATGTTGGTCACGGTTTCAATGCAGTGTCACTTTCATGCCAGCCACTGCATTGAAATTTGAGCTCAATGGCTAATGGCCGTCGATTAACACTTCCAACCAAGTGTTTCGATTCTTGCCCGGCACATTTCTTGCGCTGTGGACATGCCCTCCCTACAACCCCAAACAAATCAAACCCCATGCCAAACCCCCCACCCCCGACTGCCAAACCCCCCGCCCTCACCCCCCCCCCACCCGAAACAAGCCAATGGGCCCTTCCCCTGGCAACGGCCTGTAAAAACTGGGTTCCTCTACGAGTCCTCTTTCAGGTTCTGTGGGTATGAGTCAACATAGGACCCGCAAGGTGGTGATTTAAAGACCGGGCAGGAATCCGAAGCCCGAACCAGAGTAGCCTCCGACGAAGCACAGCCCCACTTCATTTGGTCTTACATCTTCGTTTTACATCCCCCTTTTTTTGAGCGCCCCCGGCAGCATGGGCGCGGCCGCCGCCGCGGCCGACGCGCCGCTGGAGAGAATGTCGTCCTCGAAGCCGATGTCCCAGCCGCTGCCCGTGTCCTATGCGTCCGAGTCGGCCGCGAGTCGGCCGCTGGATTTGGATGCCGACGCAAGGAACTCGCTTCCACAGTTCGTGGGCCAAAAAAAGTCGAAACTTGTCTAGGTCCTCCAGTAGAGAAGTTGGAATAAGGGTACCCTTTCTTCTGTAGTCTATTTTAGTAGGGGTACCCTCCCCCAAAAAAGAAAGGGTAAAAGGGCACTACTGGGGGACCTAGTTGTTGTTTGCGACGCAAATGGTCTTCCCAAAAAGTTTGAAGTCCATGAACTCAGGAAGTGAGGGAACGCCTTTTGTCCTGTAATCGGTGCGAAAAGTAGGCTGGGAATGAGAAATGGAATGAACCGTTTTGGGATTCCCGAACAAAGGACCCCACCAGTTGGATTGGGGAATGAGACATGGAGTGAACCGTTTTTGGATTCCCTTAGTTCAAGGAAACCACCAGTTGGATGGTTTGTGGTTCATTCCGGTTCATATTCCCTGCTGAGCACCAGCAAGTAGTTTACCTCACTTCCGATCGAGTGGATTGGCCAAAAAAGGAAAACACTGTTTTGGGAGGACTAAACTGGTCCTCCCGAAAAGTATAAAGTCCAGGAAGTCTGGGAGTGAGCAACCGTAGTCTACCATGGTTTTGTGGTTGGGCGTTGCGCACTTGCAATACTTAGGGCATCCAAAGAACCCCATTCAATGGGCACCCCATCGTTCTGCAAAAACACTAGGATCCCAAGGGTTAATAAATTGAAAGTTGGCGGAAAGAAGGAGCCCCGAAAAGAAGGGAAGAACAGCTAGGACGGTGGATTCCTGTTTCCGGTCTGAGCCAAACCAAATGGCCAACTTTGAACCAAAGCATCACCGATCACCGGATGTCTGAAACACAAAAACACAAACAAAACAAGCGCCGCCAACAAGGGCCGCGCGGCCGCGCACTGGCTTTCGCAACAAAACACCCGCCAGCCAAACAAAGGAAGATGCCATCAGGCCCTGAGCTGGTTCACTCCATAAGATGAGCGTTCAACCTGGACTCCAATAGCGCAAATCACCTTCTTGCCCACTCGTTGTGGATGATTTCTGCTTCTCCCCCTTGGCTGTGTGGCAGCTCCATTGGTCCCGTGACTCACTGCGTCCCGACTTTTGGTCCCGCTGTTTATCGGGTGGCGCGATGCGCGCCTGGTAGGGCATGTCCTGGGGGTCCTCATGCTCACAGTCCCTAAAGTTCGTGAGGTCCCGCGGCCCTCGCACCTGACTCGATGCGTGAGGGAACGCGTTCGCGTGCGTCTGGTCACGTAACGATCACGGGCAGTAAGCTAGAAACAGGGCTGTGCACTTAGAGCAGAGACAACAAACTGAAGAATACGTGCTAAGAAGCCAGTGGGTATTAAGATGCTAACATGATTGACATCGATGTGCAGAAAGAAAAATAATAAACAGCCAAACAAGCTGGCCGCCAAGCATACATGTAATTGCAGCGAATGATGCCATTCGGCATTCTCCTCGATCTTGGATGTTCTATCCAGTTAGACGGTGTCTGTAACCTTGGCTGTAACCTGGACACAAAAAGAGTAGCTCCACTTGGGGAAGTCAAAAGTGGCTTGAAGGACAAATTTGCCAACCATATCTATATACTTTGTTGAACAGCATAAGTGACAAGAAAAAGGCAGCACGGAACAACAATCGGCAAAGTTTCTTGGACACGCGATCCTCTTGCCGTGGGCCACTTTGACATTGTCTTGTGCCGGAACTACCCCATGCGCATCCGATCGCATCCCGTGGTATCTTGCGAGACTTCTCTCCTCCGTGAAACAATACAAGCTGCACACATGTGTCTCTCTGAAGTAGTGGCAAAGCTCACTGAGCTTCACAAGCGAGGTCCGCACCAGTACCCCGGAGCACCAGAACGAAACAAACATCTTTGCAGAACAGCTTTCAGCCAGGACTCCGCTTCACCCCTTGTGTGCGATGAAGTGGTAAACACTGGTTTGTTGTCAATGGTCCCAATTCAAACAGGGGTGTGAGAGCGGGGGTACCAATGGGGGTCGGAGGCAGAGCCTATGAGTACCTTTTCGGATGGTTCATGACGAGGAGAGCAAAGCATGTAACAAATCCAAAGCCATGCCAAGGACAGTGATTCGCAACTGCCACCAGTCCGGTCGCTCCCCTTTGGCGGATGGATTCCCCCCAAACTTGATGGACAAATGGGGCGTAGGCGTTCACATTCCTATCCTGGCGAAGGTCTGGATTCACCCTCGCAGCATCGCCTTTGAACGCTACAGCTGAATCGCCTATTTCTGCCGATTGAGAGCTGCCAGGTACGACTGCAGGATATGATGCGATGTGGCCTTCAGAGAAACAAAACATGATAAGTTTTAGTGGTTTAATGGAAACCCTTTAGTTGGCAAAAAGTTAAAGTCCTAACATCCAAGCAAAATGCACCGCAACTACGAGTTGCATTGAAGCTACACGCTTTGAGGGCCCGGGGTCAAAGTAAGACCTCGCGGTTGGGCCCAGGGACCTTCAGCCGGCCTTCCTGGATTTCTGCTTCTCTTGTGAGTTCCATCAAAAACCTGTCCCATCAACTTGACTTTTTCTGGCCCCTTGATTTTACCGTCAAAGTCACCCCTGTGGTAGGTTAAAGGGCAGCAACACCATCACCTGACTTGGATAGACCCTGGGAACGGTTAAAATGACGACTCCAGTTTTTGGGAGGGGTGACTTCATGCAAAAGGCCAACCCTCAGCCAGAGGAGACACTTCGATCCGCATTTCCGCACCTGCGGCACCAGTGGTGGTGCCATGCGCAGTTGCTGCAATCCTGGCAATCCACTGGCAGATCCATGCTTGAAGGGCCTAACGAAGCGTCTCCCGAACTAAGCTCTGCGCCTAAAAATTGGACCTGGAACCTCAAACGAGCCCCCCATGTTCTGAACTTCTGAAGATGAAGTTTTCTTTCCGGCTTCATGTCAATTTGTTTCAGGGAGGAGCCCCTTCTAACCCGATGCAACCCATGGCCATGGGTGGTGAATTCACCTACCCCAACATGGGATCCCATTGGTTTTGACAACCACAGCCACATACCCAGCCAGAAACCAACCAGTTCATTTCGCTTCGAGTCTTCGAGGCCCCGAGCGAGGCCATGAGGCCTCGGGCCCTGTGGGATTTCTCGGCATTGCGAAAGCGGCGCAACAAGAGAGCCGGACCAGTGCAGAAAAACATGGCTGTGGTGGTCAAAACCAATGGGATCCCATGTCGGGGTAGGTGAATTCACCACTCATTTTAGAACCTATTTTAGTGGTTGGATTGGGATGTTCACTGGGGGTACAGGGTTTTGACCCATGGCCACAACGCACACCGATTGTGCAGAGACAAGTGGCTATTGACAACTGCTGTAGACTCTGTAGACCATCAGGGTGTTCATGCAAAGATTGTTTCGATACTGTGGATTCTCCAAACGGTCACTAGTAAGAGGCAGAACGCATCCTTTCCTCTACCCCAGCAAACAGCAAGCCAACATATAAATATAAATATAAAAGCATGGCAAAATCAGGAGACCCCCGCGTCTGTGCTTGCAAATCTGCAGGGCTGTTGAGCTTAGATCATGCCTAGTCGAACTTGGTTCTTAGCTTTGTGTGTGTGTGTGTCTGTTTGTGTTTTTCTTTTCCGGGCACAACCTGAGAGGCATTTCATGCATTGCAGGAGCCAGGGATTTTCATTGTTCTGCTTTTGGACCCTCTTTCTTGGTAAGAAAAAAAAAAAACGAGTGACCCCCTGAATGAATACTTGCACTCCTAACATTTTACCAGTTCTCGAGGTCACGCTCGAGCAAACGCCTGCATGGGCCTGTCTTAGAGAGCACCTTCCACTGGACAAAAAAAACAAAACAGCACCCCTTTTGGGTCAATATCCCGGTTATCCCCCAGTGAACTTCCCAATCCCCACTAAAATAGGTTCTAAAATGGGTGGCGCACCTACCCCAAAATGGGATCCCATTGGTTTTGACCCACCAAATCCCTACCCCGAAATCCCTCCCTTTGATCCAACCTCTTTCCGCCAGAGATAGAACCTTTGGCTTTAGGAATAAGTGCAATTGCCAGAACTCGGAACAAGCTCTTCGACTGTCTTTCTTTCAGGGGTGATGGCCACCTCTATGGGCGACCCCCTCAAAAAGGAATCCTTCACTACGAGGGGCTCCAGCTTTTTTTTCCCACCAAAGGCGGCAAAAAGAGTACCAGACCCCCCGAAGCCCCTGCTGGCTTCTCTCCTGGCCAGTCGAAGCGCCGGAAGAAGCCGTGCTCTCGGAGCACGGGGGTGCGAAGGCGCACCTCTTCGGAGGCGGGGATCCCTATAGCTTGGGTGAGGGAAGGACCTCTCAGCAAAAAAGCTCCATGGACCACCCCTTCAATTTCCGAAAGCGGATATGTTCTCTGTGTTCAATGGAAAGCCCTTGATCCCCCCCAAAAACAACAACAACAACTAAAGATCCAACCCAACAGCAATCAAGATAGGAGCCCGTATTGACGAAGCGTCAAATTTCAATCAACCACATTGTACATTGATCCGCGGAACTCACGCAACTGCAAAACATACTTGCGCCAGGGTCAAATTCTTGCAGGCCGGTGTCCCTCAATAGCCCTTGTAAGAGGAAAGCCACAAGTTTGTTCAGGGGCCGCTTCCAGCCAATTCAGCTTCTTCACCAAATCCTCCCAGCAACGGGCCCTATCAGCTTAACAGAGCGAAGCACGAGAAACCGCCGAATGGCAAACTCGCTTCTTTGCGCTTCCCAATCGGCTGGCAAACCAATCGGCTTCTCGATCCGGACCTTACGGGGCTGACGGTCTGAGAACCCAACGGTCCGTTGGCATTTCCCGAAGAGAACAGGGCTCCCTATATTTCCCGTTGAAACATCACCCAAGGGGTACTCACCTTTCAGGGGCCAAAAAGGTGATGTTTAAAACAGCCAAAATGGGAAATATAGGGACCCCTGGAGAAGGAACCCCTCAGCTCTGATCCTCGATGGAACAGTAATCCTAGATCCACTGCAGCATTTCCTAGAATGATTCCTGTTGACCCACCTATAGTAAACATTAATAAAAAGAGAAGAAAGAAGAAGACAGAAGTAATTCTAAGGTAAGGTGTAATAAAGATGGATTGGAGAGATATGTAAAAAGCCAATTAAAGATTTTTGTACCAGTTGGTAAAGATATTAAGATTGTAACTCCTGTAAAATAAGCTCTTGTATCACTTTCTAAACCTACAGTATACATATGATGTCCCCAAACAAGACTTCCAAGAAGAGAAATAGATGACATGGCAAAGATCATTGATTGCTTAGCAAAGATTATTAACTGTAAAATCCCAGAAATTATTATGGAAATGATCCCAAATGCAGGAATTATTAAGATGTAAACTTCTGGATGTCCAAAAAAACAAAAACAAGATAGAATATAGGATCTCCTCCAAATATTGGATCAACGAAAAGTGTATTAGAATGAAGATCACCCAACATTAAAAGAAGTGTACCAGATAAGATAGGTAATGTTAATAAAGCATGAAAGCTGTAATCAAGAAAGAGAAAGGAAATAATGGGATAGTCTTTAATATAAGATAATAAGATCTCAGATTTAGAATTGTTGTCCAAAAGTTAAGAGGTGTAAGACATGAAGATATAGATCCAAAGGATCGTCAACAAGCGTAAGAAACCTTTGGCTCCGTGGGCTGAGGGGAAACCATCCCCCAACTTGATACATTCTTCAGCTCCAGCTCCTAATTAGGTTGACCCCCAAACAGGTCCAAATTGTTTGCTTCCCAGCAAGAACATTTGCCCAAAACAAAACCAAGGCTCCGACCAACAAACAGGCCGTCTCCTACTTGCTTGAGGAAGAGTCCCCGAATGCGTTTCTAACAAGCATGCTGGGTTTGCAGGGCAGAGGTTGGGCAAGTGAGTTCTGGCCCCCTTACCATTCTCATTTCGCAAACCGCTGCACCCACCAAGTAAGTTTGAAGGACAAGCTGACAAACTGATCTACTCCCAAAACAAAATCCACTTAACTGTCTTGCTCTTGCACGCTTTTGTCTTCCAACCAATCCATACAAGTTTTGTTTCGAGCCACCAAGGTGGCACTCTCAAATCATGCTTTAGACGACAGCGAGCACTAAACAACAACAAAAGAAATGAATCAACACATCTCCAACCACCCAACAGCACCCGGCGCCGAAAACCAGGACCGCACCCATGTTCTGCGAGTCCCATCATCCAACCACGGCTTTCGAAGGATTTCCGACCCCATGGATTTGATCCCACCGAATCCCATGGCGCGCCTCTGGGTTCCGATGGCAAAGGTTTCGAACCAAAGCGCCGGCCTGGCGACACCAAAACGCGCCGCTGAACATGGGGCAGCTACGTCGGGGAAGAGGCAAATGGATGGGTCTGGTAGAGTCTGAAACGAAGTCAACCAGGAATCGCCATCTGATTTACCAAAACAACCACACAGGACCTACTTAAATTTGGTGCTTACTCAATTGGTAATAGCCATGGCTACCCACTTAAGCCATGGGTACAAGTCTCCGTCCAGTGGGTTCTCTCACCAGGCCCACTCACTTACCTGGGCAGTGAAGAAACCTCTCATACATGAGCCACTCCCATTCGCCCCGAGTTTTGGGGGATGGGCGGGTCGATGGGGTTCCATGGGCTGTTCAAGTCCAGATGCCACGAGCCCTGATTCGAAATCGCAGGTGCTTCGTTTATTGGGATAGACTCCCCATTTCGACAAAGGCCCACCAAGGGTCCAAAGACAAACCGCGCCGAAACGACCGGAAAAAGGAGCAAAATTCAGCACCGTCTGGGCCGCTTCGCCCCATTTGGGGGCCCTTGTTTCCTTGTTGCGGTGCCTGTGGGCAGCCGCCAGGTTTGTTTGCCCTTCGTGGTCATTTTGCGGTGGGCCGCTTGCACCTGAAAAGTCGGGTTCCATGGCACCTTTCGACCCGGATCCGCCCTTCCGCGTTCCCTTCCCTTGACCTCCGATGTCTTTGCGGTTTTTCGCGGCGCCTTCAGCTCCTCCCTTTGGGCTCCGACTTCTGTCCAGTTTGTTTCCCCGCAACTCGGAGAAACCGCCCGGGAAGCGAAAACGACAACTTTCGCACCGCGGAAAACTCAAAACCCGCGGCAACGGCCTCGGGCTTCACGGCCTCGGGGAAGCGCACCGTCTCGATGCCCCGCTTCACCAGGCCGTAGGTCTGAAACGGAAAAGCCGAAGCTCGCCGAAGGCCGACGTCGGCGGTTTTTTTCGCTTGGAAGATCCATTTGCCGGAGCCAAGATGCTGTTTGAATGGGCCGTCCGATACCAAGAAGAGTCCTGGGCGTCCGATACCAAGAAGAGTCCTTAAGATAAAAAGTGGGAGTCTGATTTTTCAGTGGGCTGCAGCTTCATGTTCATGACTTTCAGTGGGCTTCTGATTGGCAAAATGACATGCGGAAGTTTCCACACAGCTGCCAGGGTTGGGCCCTAGAGGCCCTCAGTAATTAGGCTTCCACCAAAATTTGAGGTCACAACCACAAGAGGAAAACAAACCAAATTGTTGGGATTCAAGGAAATCCAAAGATGCTTGTGGGATGCAGCATTGTCCATCCAAAGTCGGCCGAGTCATGGTTCTGGCCTGAAGCATGTCCCATAATCAAAAGAGCAAGAAACCCCAAACGCGCGCCGAAGGCTGCGCCCTGAACAAAAAGAGGTGGATTGACCGTGGTTAATCCCTCAGCGGTTCAGGGGGTGGTTCCTAGACTCTCGTTCCGCACTCAGCGCTGTTTTCTTGTTGTGCGCTTGAGCCAAACGGCGTTTGCCGTTCGACAAGTCTGTCATGACATGCAACCCTCAACCTAAACCAAAGTGGCCTCAAGCAAACCTCACATCAGTGACCACACAACTAGGCAAGTTACCATGCCTTTGGGGGCTAAGGGGTCGTTATTTCTTGACTCCCCCCTCGCCGTGTGCACTAAGGCAGGGTAAGCTTTTGTTTTGGAGCGCGATACGCTGCTCCCGGACATCAAGGCTTTACAAGGATGAAGGATATTTTGGCACTCTTAGTACTCACAGCACTACCTTCGGGATGACTTTCTACTTTTTGATGTTGAATCGAGTATCTTCTAGCTCTTCTGGGAGATCTGTGCGCATTCCCAGGAGCCTCAAGGCGTGATCCCACTTATGCGGAGGCAAAGCCTTGGTAAAGATATCGGCAGCTTGGAAATCGGTCTTCACATATTCAAGCTCTACTCCAGTGCCTTCCTGTAACTGTTCTGCAAGGGATGCTAGGTTAACCCTATGTGTCCTAGAAATTGCACGCAACTTCGAGGAGTGCCCTTTCCTTGCAACCAGAATAGTAGCTTGATTGTCTTCGTGGATCCTTAGGGTCATTGGGCGACCCAATAGTCGATCCCACAGACTAAGTGTCGGGAGTCCCTCCTGATACAAAGAAAATGCTAACGACACAATCTCTGCTTCTGTAGTGGAACGCGACACAGAAGTCTGGCGCTTGCTAATCCATGCTAAGGGGAAGTGGGAATTCGGGCCTTTCAGGGCGAGAAACCCCCCTGACGTGGACTTGGCCCCCTCTTCTCCTGCAAAGTCAGCGTCGACGTAGAGCGCAAGATGCAGCTCTCTGGGATCGTCTTGAACTGTGCCAACCAACCTGTGCGTTGTGGTCGTGTTAATGTAAGCTATTAGCCTAGCCAATTGCCTATCATTATTACGCGACCATTTTTGAACGCACGTTGCAAGATCCCCGATGGGCTTGATTATGTCTGGACGTGCAAGACGTCCCAACCACAAGGCCTTCATCAAGATTTTACAAGCGGCTGAGCTCAATTCACCTGCTTCGGCATCATCTTGTGTTGGCAATGACCCTTCCGGACAGAATGGGGTCAATGCCTTGCGGAGTTTACTAATCGGCTGACCTGAAATGGAGACATACAAATCTACAGTTTGTTTGGCATAGTCAACCATATCAAAAGCCATTGCGTTGGACAGCGCGCCAAAGGCTGCGCTCTCGGCTGGATTAGGCTCGCACTTCGGGGCGTTAATGATGACATGATTCCTTCCCAAAACACGATATATCGGTTCTGGGGGTTCAATATCAACACATGACATCAGCTTTTCCCAAAAGGGATCATGCTGCTCTGCCGGCCCTGAAAGCGTTAGATCATCCACATAAGTGGATAGCATTAAGCCGGTTGAGGGGAAGTAAAAGTTTCCTGGAAATTCTTGGATCTCCTCTCCGGTCTGCTCCTTCAAGATCTTCTTGAAGTGTTGCTCCCATAGCCCCCCCGCGTCGGGGTGACCGTAGAGTGCTTTTACTAGAAGGACTACCGGTTTTATAAACTTTTCTTTCCACCACTTCGGACGAAGTTCCGGCGGCAACGATATCCACGTCTGATGTTGAGATCGAAGTAGGGCCTGGATATATGCCTTTACGGCGTCTGCCGCCGTGGTTTTGTGACCTGGCAGTGAGCCGTAGGCAAGGCAATTGTTCAAACCCTGAACGGACGTAGGGTTGGCGCCGAGTTCTTGATAAACGGCCGCCGCCCCATATTCGTCCCGCGCACAGTCCCCTCGGTATACTATACGCCCCTTCATTTTGTGTAGATGCTTTGCTAGCTCAAAGAATTTGATGGAGGCGATGGTCATTAGTTGACCGAAGTGGACTTTAGTGTGCGTCCGTCGCGCTTCAGCAGCGACCTCTCCCTGCTCCCTCACGGTGCTGAGATCCCAAACTCCCGCATTACTTGAGCCGTCTGCTTCTTCCTTACGGCCTGCAACGCCTCGGACGAGGCAAGCATCTCTGAACGTGAAAGAAGTTTTGTGACCATGGCGGCTATGTCGGGAGAAGTCTCCTGCTTTGTAATTCCCTGAATTTCCCTAACGAGGTTATCCAAGTCAAAGAGTTCTTCAAAGAATCTGCGGGATGTTGGATCTGATTCAACCACTGACGCGAGAGCCCCAACACCCGAAAGTGCGGAGGTATGCTTCAAGGACTGCTCCTTTTCCCGATGCTCCTCTTGCACGGTGACAGCCTGGACTGGCATTGCAGGCGCGCATGGCGCTGCGACATGCGGGTATAACGCACTAGCGATTATCTTACACATCTCTTGTGGATAAAAGGCGGTGCGTGCAGTGTTGCTACCTGCGGCCTGTGCGTGCTTGAAGGAGTGATGGTGGGGGCATGTCCTATTCTGGAACCCATCATGAAGTTCCTTGGATGTGGTCATGAGACGCCACGGCTTCTTGATGGGAGTCCCTTCCTTGTCAGTTAGACCTACTGCACACCCGTGGAAAGTCACTGAGTGGAAGCGAGACGCATGCTTCTCGAAGAATGCCTTTACGTCGGGGCGCTCCCATCCCTCGCAGTCGCGAGGCCACTCGAAAGTGACGTGACCCTCTTGTTCTATCACCACTTCGGCGTGCTTTGTGAACCTTGCGAACAACGCCTCCGACCTTTTAACCTGTGCACGGAGATACTGCTTGTATTTATTGCCGTACCTATGGACATTTAGCCTTTGCCATGGCGACCCGGAGGTGCACGGAATGGCCGCCCACATGTTAGGCTTGCTACAAGACTGCAACTGAGCGGTCAGTTGCTCATCCCCTTCATTGGTTTCAAGATCGATGTGTTCCTTAGCCAGTCTCACGTGGGGAATGCCTAATGCTTGATGCACTGCTCCCATGGTGGAGTCACTTGAACATGCATACTCGAACATTACAGGCATAGAATTTCCCCGCGCGATACGCTTGCGGGCCCTCTTATTCCCTACGGAAAACTTTTTGCATGGCTCCTTTTTGGAACATGGCATGCCGAACACAGGCAGAGTCCGAGCCTCCCTCTTGGTGAAGGAGTCGGCTACGTGGCACGTGAGTGATGTGGAGGTTGCAGTGGTGGTTGTTACCGCCGCGCCAGTTGTGGCTGCAGGCGGCGCGGTTGGAGGAATCCCCCCTGGCCGAGACGGAGCTGGCTTGCCGCGAAGAGCATCATCATGTTCTTCGGATGCCCTCAGTGCTTTCTCGAGCGCATCGGGATCAGATAGATCTGCCTTTTCAAGGCGGGAAAGCTCAAGTGCCTTTTTAAGGTCGGCATCGTCCTCTTCGAGACGTGCCTCCTTGGCTGCATGAACTGGGTCAATCGCTTCGGAGGGGCGAAGTGACCGCTCTACCTCGACGGCAGCCGAGCGCTTGGAGCGCTCCTCGGCTTTCTCCGTATCGACCAGCCTCGCAAAGCGGCGTCGACATTCGGGGGTATGGTACCGGGTGCGCCCAGTACAACCTCGACAACCTGGTGTTTCACGGAACCGGATTATTCGATCCACAGTGATGTACACGCCTCGCGGCGTGCCTGGAGCGGGAGTCGGCGGTGCAGCTACCTCGCTAAACGGAACCTCTTTAAGAGCGACTTCTGGGAGTTCACCCTCGGCTTCCCCCGTCCGCAGCGCCTTGTGGGCTGCTGCCGCAACGGGGAAACAAGGCTCACCTTCTTCAACGAAGAGTTCTGCCTCCGGGACATCATGCACTACAATCGCTCGACGAGTCCTAAATTCTTGATAATCTAGGACCTTGACCACATGGCGATACCGAAGGCCTGCGTCAACCCTCCAGCCCAAAAACAAAGCAGGTGCCAAGTTGGGTTCTAGAGTGCGCTTATTAATGCCCTTTTTACGGTAATAGACAAGCTGACCAAAGCAATGCCTAATGCCATCGAACTTCGACTTTGTCAAGGCTTCCCATTGGGTCTTAGCCTTGTCGAATGTTGCAGGTCTGTCGAATGACATGGAGAGACATGCGAAGGGATAGGAGTGAGTGTGTAGATCGTACGGCAACCCACTCTGGAGGTGGATGGATCTGCAACATTCCTTTTCTTCCCTAATATCCCTTTCCAGCTCAGCATTATGGGGCCATCGATTCGGCAACGAGGTTTCGGGTGTCAGGCCGACCTCATGTGCTGCCGCTTCGAGTTCCCCCGCTTCATCCATTTTGATTAGACATGTCGGAGCAAGCTCGTTAGCTTTCAAACCTAGGAAGTGCCTTAGATTTTTGGAATGGGCTGCTGTGTCCCTTTTGGATACAGGATATGCAATCCTTGCTCCAGAGAAAACATCCCTGATGACGTGGTGAGATTTAATCCCTCCGATTCCAATGCCCGCGTGTTCATCTCCTTTCGCAAGGATGACACTGTCAGTAGCGAGCTGTTGAAAC